CAAAGTCCTCTACCATAGTAGTTATCATAATTCCCAGTGTCAGACAGAGGACTTGGTACATTTTTGAGAATCTGCAAAGTCCGCGATCTGACGCTAGGAATTATGATAGCAGATTGCAGACATATCTTACGGGGCAAGAGGAAGACTCTGATAAGGCTTAGGAAAGGAGGACTGCGTAACAATATGGCAGACTCTGATCAACATTCCCATAACAAAGGTGAAGTGGGGGAGAACGCCAGCGTGGAGTGTGGAGGGTCTTCATGAAAGCCGCTTATAAGGGCACACAACACTAGATTTAAATAAGCAAGGAAAAAATTGTGATAGTGAAGGCGTGATACAAGGATATAGGAAAAGTGAATAGACCAGGGCAGAAGGAGAGATAGCACAACTGCTTAGCACATATTTGGTCAAAGTATCTGCTTCACTTATCTCTTTGACGAGTTGTTGTGTGGGGCTAAGAATGGCAAGACTCACTGACGATGCCGACTATGATGCCGGCGAAACGTCTGGGAATGTACCACGTCCACGGTCCTTCTTTGGAAATGATCATGTATACAATGGACTCCGGACTAGGTGCGTTCCTCTAAGTCTTCCTACCAATGTGACCAAGTTGAGAAAACAAGATAAAACAACTTCTATACAACGAAAGGAGACTTCGACCACACAAAAGGCCACACCATCTTTGTCTTCATATCTATGATTATCAAAAGCATGAAATAAAATAGAACTGGACTTAGGGGAAGTAGAATTAAACAAACATTCATGAATACTCCTCAGTAAGGGATGCTCCATAGAAGGCATACAAAGCAATATGAGAGTTGTAGAGGACAGTTGGCACGATAGGAATCATGAAGAGCAAAGCAGGAATGAGAAAAATGCCCAAATATCTGTCCTAGTGTGAATTAGATCGAAAACTCCGACTGATATTGGGAAGGTCGTAGGAAAATGCAACACACTTGGCAAACTTGTCGACACAACATGAGTAGTTGAACGGACTGGATGAATCGGAAGTCAGTCTCATGATAGCAAGTAAATGTGGATAAAATTATATTTGCGAAGCAGCAAGAAAAGATCAGCCCACGAATAAAGATACATCAAATATTCTGCATAAAGTGATATAAAAAGGTCAGAAATAGCAGAACCCATTGACCGGACTGGAAACGATACCGACTCGAGAGCAGTAGAAGGACTGATTTACTTATACTGGAAATAAGTAGCATCGCCTATTTCATTGGCAATTTCATGTTTGCTTAATTGCAATTCCACTCAAGGTGTGATTTGTGTGAGGCCTGATTTGCGTTGATGGTCACATTGGAGGGATTATGGGAAGGGTTAGTAAGAAACATCATAGAAATTGGGCAGTATGAATATAAGAGCAAAGGCAAGTTTGGCCAGAACACCTCTCAAAATAGTCTGCCAGTTTGAGCATGAAAGTGGTCCGAGATTTACCAACCCGGTGCACATTCCGAATTGAGATAAGGAGAAATAGAGTGGAATGTTATTTTATCATATAGTTTGGGGTCCAGGCTTTGCAGGCATGCTCGGTAAGGCTGCAATAGATTTGTTTTTAAACGGTGGCGGCAGGCAATTTGAAACAATTGTTAAGCTGAAAGAACTCATCGAGTAACAGTGGCCGAGGGGGATAAGAGACGACTCGTCAAGACTACTAGGGAGAAGCTGCTAAAAATTAGATGAGGTAGATTCACGATGTAAAATCCAAGTTCTTATTAACGAGTGTATTAATGTCTCGAAGACGACTTTCTTTGAGAATAATTAGCGTCGTTGATTTTAATGGCAATTAATTTTTGATTAATCAACAACCCCACTTTAAGTGCGGTTTTAACTCTGCCTGACTTGCCATAAAGTACACTTTTGCCCTTTGACCCACTAGTAGAGTGCTTACGTGTCGTCAAGTTCTTCATGACTCCTGTTAGAATGGCATTATATATGCTGATGAGGAATAATGAGGCCAGTTCGTTACTGCCGTCAACTTCAGCCTGGATAAGACAAGCTTTTTGGAGGCAAGTCTAAGTCAAATTAAATGAGATCAAGAAACCTATTTATGCGATTGTGTGTGATAACTCAACTATGAGACTTTGAATCAGCTTAAGAAGCCTAGGCTGGCTAAATTCGTATTAAAATGTCATGTCGGATCAGCCCTAAATTCCAGAATACCACTTGTCTGGTTTCATTAACATAATTGGTGGTGTTTAAGATTGCATTCATCGGATATACTGATACTTAGAAAAACCTGGTTACCATAGGCTGCTTAGGGTAATTTAAGAACGGCTAGTTGAATTCTTCTTTCTTAATTATATTAGCAGGCCTCACTATCCCATTGAATTTAACTCAGTCTTGCTCCGAGAAGGATCTTCTAATTTTGACTAGGTAGCAGTTTCCATCTTGTCCAACCGGATTTAAAACTATACTTTATTATTCCGCTACATACCTGCGGGTACCATTTGGTCATAAGGTCACTTCCAAGGCAATCTAGGCCTCTCAAATAGTCAATTTATCTTCAATGAAGTAGAAATTGAATTTTCATTAAAACATACACAGTTACTTATTTTCAGTGTAAACTAGGTTTATAAACTATCAGTAATTCTTGAATAAGAAGTTAGGTTTTGAAGTCAAGGCTAGAGGTCGTGAGGCCTATTCACCCAAATATCATTCTTTAAACAACCTAGTTTGACTAAGTCCTTAGTAAAAGGATAAATATAATCAAAAGTTCAGGTGGTAAAGGAAAGAGTAAATCAGCGGAGAGTTTGATTAGGCCCAACAAAATCCACTCAAAATGTCACATCTTTGGAGTGGACGAAAGAAAAGTTGAGTTTATACTTGATGGGCCTTCATTTCACTTACATTTCGAGTGAAAGCGTTTGGTGAAAAGATTCGAAGGTTGATCTCACCAGAAGATGACGGATGATTTTGTTTCGACCAGTAGTCAATTAACTTTCACCAGAATCGAAGCGGATTGCCTCGTAAACAGCCTAACAAGCATGCTTCATTAAAGCCAATTTGGTGCCTGACCAAGAGGAATCCGCTGTCGTCTTTTGGTGGGATCAACCTTCGAATATCTTTGTCAAGCACCTTCATTCGAAATGCGGGTGAGCTCATCATACTAAGCAAGTTATGAAATAAGGTGGTGAAGGAGGACGATATGAGGATGTAGAGACATGTGAAAGCACCAGGAGAGTAGGAGAGAGATGCAACAACGATTCAGCCAAAGGCTGAGCTTCACTCTGTGCTCAGAATAAAAATGAAGACCATGACGCCGGCAACACTTTTGGGAATGAATAAAATCCCTGGTACTATGCACAAAATCAGCATGGCGATCATAACAGAGTTAGACGGAGTTGAAATGACAACAAAATTAATTTTCGAAAACGAGACGAAAGAGTATTGCGACCAAGATGAAGGCCACACCACCTTAATCGTCATACCATCAAAATAAAGAATTGCGATTTTTTATTACCTCTGCCACAGAGACAAGATATGTGACAATAAGGGCATTCACTGCTCAAAAATAGAGTAAGAATTATGTCCAGTCTAGGTTGTTTTAGATGGTTTAAAGGCATTTCCCCTACATTCAAATGGGTAGACCTCACAATGCAAGTAAATTTCACTCTGTCCGGCCTCTAGAAAGTTTGTCTTAGAACCCACTGACTCGACTGCAGTCAGTCCAACTCCTCTTTACATACACGCGCACACACTCACAAGGCCACGTGTGTCAGTTAGTCAGAAGGCAGATGTAAGCTCTAAGGCATGCCAGGCCTCTTAAAAATCACATTTATGGTTGGAATGTCGCTGGGGGCCATCTGTATGAAGGGCTGATAAATCTTCATAAAATGATACGTTTAGGCCTCACCTAGTCGCAACGACACTTATATTACTTAGATTTAGTTTTGGCAGGTTCTCGAGACTACCATAAATCAGATTTATGGGCTGTGTTCACCATATTTCGTTTAAGATGATGAAGTACTGCTAGCTGCATTTTATCATAATGATATGTGCAGGCCTATAGTTTACATTGAATTTCACATATCTTGCTTTCCCAAAAGATATTATCATCCTGAGTGGACTGCAGTTTCGAACTTGCCTAGGTCTCATCAACATCTCCAGCGCGACTCGAACCATGACACTGCAGTGTATAATCTCGACACGAGTGCTCTTGTATCACAGGGAAAACGTGCATTTCGAGAAGGACCAGGGCAGTTTCCCATATCACATTCTGTTGTGGGATTGTCAATGAAACAAATTTATATTTGCAATAGCACTCGACGACAGTACTTATATTTCGTTTTTGAATAGGTTTTTGAGGCACTCATATAAATGTGGCGTAGCGGTTAACGTGTCGAGATTATATGCTGCTCTGTCATGGTTTGAGTGCCCCTGGCGGTTTTGATGAGACCCGTGCGAGGCCGAAACTTCAGTCCACTCCAGCCGGGATGAGAACATCTTTTGGGAAAGCAAGGCTGTGTGAAATGTAATAAAAATGTCATGTCTACTCAGTTGATTGTGGAAAAATTCAACTAATATTCCTTCATCAGTCTAAATGAAACAGAGCGAGCACAGCTTACTTATATTCGGGGTGAGTAGGCATCGAAAATATCGATGATGCTTGAATAGGACCTCACTTCCTCTCACGCAATAACTTGGTGAGATAAACTTCAATATCAGTCTTTTATTCATCTTATTCGATTAATTTATTATTGATGTGGTAAGTCTGAGTCACTTTGATTGCCAGTGCAACTGACGAGGCTACATATCGTCGAGGTGAGTGCGTTTCGGGGCTACCAGAAGTTGGTGAATCGCGAGATGGAAACCGTGGTCCAGCTTGAACGAGAGCTCCTTTTGGCACTGTGGGGCCCAAATATTTCATTTTTGCGACCTCCATTACCAGTCCTCAAGTCACTTTAGGCGAAATGGGCCGAGTTAAGTCTTGCCAGGAGCGTTACTGACCATTTCAGAGTCGGGGCCAGTTGACAAAATAAAACGAATCAACTGCCTCGAGTTCCCTCTCGGCTTGTCTTTGTTTGGCCTGACCTGGCGGCCTGAAAGCCAGAAATGAAGGGGACGAGTGTGCGGTAGAAGGAGGCATAACAAATGGTTGACTTACTCTTCACCTTCTTGTCCTCGTCCGACCCGAAGAGGGCCAGATTCGAGTCCTTCCAGTCGTACTCCTTATGCTCTATCAGTCCCGTCATTCGAGTGGAGCGCCGCAGAATACACAACTTGTAGGCGGTAACCGGCTTAACGACAGACCAGAAGAGTTGTGAGATTGGCTAGTTATACCCGATCACACGCACTGATCGGGACCAATCGATCCTTGCACTTGCCAAGCAACCGATCGTAGTACCAGTCTGCAAGGCATACAGCCTCCGAGGGGGTTGAGTGATGCCAAACCGAGTCAGAAGACAAGACAGACAGTTTGCAGCCACTCGTAAGGCCTAATGCTCACGCCCGAGACGGCGTTGGAGACTTGGCAACATGGCGATTTAACGATTTGACTAGAATGGCTGACTTCAGCTCATCTGGCAAAGCAGCTCTGGCATGAGTGTAGGATTAGCGGGGCTCTTGAGTCTGCGATAACTGACGAACAGTAGATCTATGCCTCTCGTAGAGACGGACGGCGACGAGCCGGTTTCGGCGGAAAGCACGGACCGCTGGGTCCCTTCGAGTGGTCTGAGTTACCAAGTCAGCAAGTCTGCCAGTTGGATTGGCTAGTCTGATCGCGTGGGCGAGGGTGAGTAAGCGTGCGGTGTACCGTTGCAATAGTCGCCTGGAGCACATGTCAGGGAAGAGATTAAACAGAGCGATTTTAACAGTCTTACCAATACAGGCCCACCAGACCCATCTGACTGGGTCAGGTCAACATGTGGCACATGCACGCTTTTTCGTGGCGGTCGGGTAGGCCACGAGACAGGCACCTTCTTGCAGACGACCAATAAGACGAGACGGCGCTGAAGACAGCAACAACGATGACGGCGAGGATTTCACGTAAATGGAACTGTAATTATCACAAAAGGTCATATCTGAGCATCGACGGCGATGACAACGTCGACGATTGCAAGTAAGTAAAACTTTAATTAACTGATAACTTTACATCAGAACAATATTGACTTCTTCAGGGACGATTTTACGCGGATGAGACCACAAAATACCGTGAAGGTCACATCGGAATGGCATTAACAGCTATGGTGAAAATTTCATTTAAATAAAACTGCAACCAAGAGAATAAGTC